CAATACATTTCTAATGTATGTATATATATATATATATATATATGTATAAATTCATATTATGTATATATATATATATGTAAGTATGTACATGTATATTATATGTATATATATGTAATGTACATATGTATCTACACGTAGAATCTACACGTAGACATATATATGTAAAGTTTCTGGGCTTCGTACAAGTCTCTTTTCCATCCATCATTTGTCTCTGCTAAGGCTCAATCATCCGCAGTATATCCATGCATAAGTATATACTACATGTGCACGGTTAGGCTTACATGTGTATACGGGCCACTCATGCCTTTCCCCAATACGTCTCAATCCAGAACGATATTCATCCGTGTACATGTAGACACATCACCCTTGTACACAACGAGCTGTTACACGTACACACCTACCAATGAAACGTATACTGTCACTGACGTGTACGACTGTCTTCCGTAGGTGGGCTGTGTTCCTGTTCACTGGTACGGCCGACTCGGCTAACTCCATCATGAGTCTGGTCGCATCATCTGCGATCTCTATTGCCACATTGACCTTCTCATTGACAGTCTTGGCCATCCAGTTGGCGGCTGTGAATTACTCACCCCGTCTGTTGGGTAAGTGGAGCGGTGCATTCTACGCATGTTTTGGGCATGAGTTGTTAACGTTTACGTACGCTGTAGGTGGATAGAGGCTATAGTATGGTCCAGTCACGTGCGTATGGGCTTGCACCGCATATCTAGAACGTATCTGACCATTTCTGTGTTGGTGGTACAACTTCTGGTTGCCTGATTATTCATGAATGATGGATATCGGAGACGAGTTGCTTGATCATACCGTGTCTAGCTGTGAAGCAATGACGAAATAGTACGCACGCTTCTATGTGACGTAGCACCGAACTCACAGACGGGCGCACTAGTACACACCTATCGGTACAGGCACACACGCCTATAAAGTGCAATCCGACATATACTCGCACTTAAACAACACACACATCAGGCAATGTTTTAAACCCTAATCTACACCCACAGCCTTACTATAACCTATCTGATCCCCCGCCCATGTACACCTCTCCTGTCTTAGACGAGTTCCTCAAGGATCCGGTGGCCAAGCGGAGCTTTGCTGTCAACCTGGGCACGTTTACCTACTGCGTCGTGGTTATGTGGAATACGCGCGGGTCTACGAACTCGGCCGACGCGTTCGTGCCGTTTGTAGCCGTTAACGTAGTGATGGTGCACGTGTTTGCAGTTCTGTACCACTTTATCTACTACCTGCAGTACTTTATCAGCAGCATCCGCCTGGAGAATATCCTGCAGAAGGCCAGTAAGAGTGCTTGGAAGGCGGCACGCAGGTGTGTGTTGTAGTACATGTGGGAGAGTGGTAATGTGTGTATATGGGGGGCATCGGGTTGTTATCAGGCGGCACGCAGGTGTGTGCTCTATTGCATATGGGAGAGTGGCATTGTGTGTATATAGGGCATCGGGTTGTTATCAGGCGACACACAAGTGTGTGTTCTATTACATATGGGAGAGTGGCAATGTGTGTGTATTGATTCAGTCACGTAGTTGTGCATTCTACTTTGGGATTTGTATTTCAAGTCATGCATGTATAAGCAACTTACGACTGTTACGACAGTAACAGAACTTTTGTGTTGATAGAAGTTGGCTATGATGCCTGAGCGATTGTTTTATATCTCGTTATGCAAGGTCAAATAAACCAAAGCAGCCAGAGTTCACTATAAGTGCATAAGAGGTCACGAAAACCAGAAATGAATGCGAGTTTCATCATCCTCTCTGGAGTACACCTAACTGTAGATGCACACATGATATATATATATACATACATACACACACATATATATATATTTATATTTATATTTATATTTTTATATTTATATATATATATATGTATATGTATATATATATATATATATTTATATATATATATATATATATATCATAGGCATGTTGAATGCTGTATTGTCCATTCACGACCACTGACACCGGACATCCTTCCACCACCTTTAAGTATGGGGAATTTTGGAGACTACTCACGCCAGATATCATTCCATCACCTTTAAATATTGTAAATTTTGGATGTCACTCACGCCAGATATCTTTCCATCACCTTTGTAGATTGGAAATTTTGGAGACCACTCAGGATGATTTTGAAATCCCAAATGTTCCGCCCGGGGCGTACAGATGCCTGGCGACCAAGAGTGGGTGTGTGAACCAAATTTGGCCTGTAGAATTGCAACTTTAGACCAGTCTAATCCGGCTTGGGCGATAGGGTGCGTGTGTAGAGGGATGTTACATATTGAGTGTGTACAAATCAACTATCTGGGTGAGTGGGTATAGACGGAAGGCCTATAGTTGTATGGCCTATAGTTGTAAGGCCTATAGTTGTTGTTCAGTACAATTGATGGGCCCAGTCTGAGTGCAAAAGCGGCCTGCATAGCGCCTCAGAGTGTACGCCAATACGACTTATATATACATCTATATCTATAACTACATCATATATATGCATGCTCCCCTGCACTAGCCGCGAGAATGTGTTGTTATGTTGTGGATCCCGGTCTGTATTTCGACCTCTGTATCAATCGATGGGCCACCCGTTATGTTGACTAAGTTTTTATGAATTGTGACTATATGCATGGACAGATATGTATTCAGCTACAGCATGGAGCTTATAATTCAGGAATTGGAGGAGATCGACGCCTTTGTGAGGTACAATTGCAGGTAGGGCGTATCTATTTATACACAGATATCTACAGTTGTGTTTATCTAATATGCAAACCCTAAACCCTAAAACATATACATTAATTTGTATTAGAACTGTAAGAATACCACACCAGTTGGCAGATGCTGTTGCTGTCTGAATGTAATTTAACCCTATTTGTGCTATTCCGTAAGTACCCGTCTTTTCCTGCCTCGATACGTCATGGAGTTTTGTTTGTACACTTGTGTTCAGAGATAGGTCATGAGTTGCATTTTTCCCTTTACGCACATTACATATGTAGATATTTTCTTATGTAGATATTTTCTTATGTACATTATATATGTAGACAACCATCCATTGTGTTTAGTGTGTGTTGCCAATGATCATCATCCACCGCATCATAGTGTTGCCATTAGGCTAAACCCTAGAGAAGCGTCTCCATTCCAAGGAGTGATTGATTCCAATCTGCTTTGCTGTTGTCGATGATCTTGCCTGCATCGGACTTACATCTCACGGCCACGCTAAACGTATTTAAAACACCTCAGCTCTGGTGATTTCGTGATCGAAGGAACTATCGTTGGGTGGATATGGCCTATGGACCGAAACAACACGCGATTCCGAAAGAAGGTCAAAGAACTGGTGGAGTACAAGAGGCACAATGGTATGTAGTGTCATATTGATTACGGTGATCTATTAGAAGTTTAGGGATAGTATTGTGTATGACGTTTTATGGATAAACATACCTACTGAGAGCCTAAGTTTTTTTTGCTAGGTGTTGTCTACTTTCAGGAATAGGATTTGAGAATCGTTATACCTAATGACTGGAAGTCACTGTCGCTAGCCTCAGCATATATTAAGGTCTAGTGTCCTTTGTAGCTTATATTAAGGTCTAGTGTCTTTTGTAGCTTATATTAAGGTCTAGTGTCTTTTGTAGCTTATATTAAAGGTCTAGTGTCTTTTGTACCTTTACTAACAGTGAGTCTCCTTACCTCATAACAACAGAGAATCGGGCTGCTCTAGTTTATATTAAGGTCTAGCGTCCTTTGTAGCTTATATTAAGGTCTAGTGTCTTTTGTACCTTTACTAACAGAGAGTCTCCTTCTTACCTCATAACAACAGAGAATCGGGCTGCTCTAGCTTATATTAAGGTCTAGTGTCCTTTGTAGCTCATATTAAGGTCTAGTGTCCTTTGTAACTTATATTGAGGTCTAGTGTCCTTCGTAGCTTATACTAAGGTCTAGTGTCCTTTGTAGCTTATATTAAGGTCTAGTGTCCTT